TGCAGAAATTGGGTTGAGGGATGGGACACCCCCAGCTTCCCCAGAGTGAGAAGGTGCCCTGCCATGAGATACATTCAGCTGCGGTGACAGGGAGCAGAGTCAGTGGCCTGAACAGACCAGGTTTCCGTCTGTCCTGACACTGTGGGCAGAAGCTGCCCAGGGCCACGTGGTAACACCAGGAGTCAAGGCTGCAGGCTTTCCACATAGTTGCTGGACCAGGGCTGGTGAGCCCTTCTTCCTCCCCAGGATCCCAGGTGTTCATGGCATCCTCCTCCCCCATGGTGAGAGCAGGGAGGGCAGTGCAGGTGGGAGGGTGACCTGCTAGTGGGACCTGCCTTTCCTGGCCATTGGCAATGGTGACAGCGAGACAGTGCCTCGCTGCAAAGGAAGCAGGCTTGTCTTTATCCTAGGGGACCACGTGTCCAGCTACATCCAGTGTCTYTCTTGCTACAGTACAAAAACAGCAGTGTGGACACTTGGGCAGCAGCCACTTCCCCAGGGCTGGCCCAGTGTGATCCTGCAGCCTTGAGCGCCTTTTCATTAGAACTGGAAATCATATTGCCCTAGTGGGGTGGTTGGGATGCCTCCAGGATGGACGGTAGCCAGGCCAGGTGGCCGCTGACAACCTGGGAAGAGACATCAGGCAGGCAAGCGCTTCCCTCCCTGGGCCCTGGCAGGACCTGGGAAGCTCCCCGCCGGAGGACAGAGGTTCCTGAGGTGCTAGGTGGGGACAGCTCCTCAGTGTGCCCCACACAGACGCCAGGCAGGAATGTCACCAAGGGGAGGCAGAACTGAAGGAGTCCCTGCGCCCTGCTCTGCTGAGGCCCTGGGAATGYGCTTCCCGTCTGCAGGCAGGACCTCAGCACCAACAGCTGCACAGACGGCCTCCTCCTCCTTGGCCAATGGCTCTCTCTGCACAATAGCCACTAATTAGCCTTCCCATGCAGGATCCGTGGCCCACGTGGGTCAGATGGAACAGTTCTCTCCAAGGCCCAGAAAGGAACACAATCGTGTCTCTAGCGCTGTGGAAAACTCTCACTTCCTGAGTCTGTGCCACCTGGCTCTGTCCTCGGGAGGCAGCTCTGTGTGGCTGGGTGGTCACCAGTAGGAGTCCCTCGACTGGAGCCCAGTGCAGGCCTCTGACCCTTGAGGCTGGCCCTTCTTGCTCACCAGACCTCACCCACGTGTCTGCCTGTGCGTACCCTGTATCTGCCCTTCTACCACAAGGTCAAAGTCCCCAGCTGAGGACCAGTCCCTCTGGGTTCGACATCTTTCCTGTACAGTAGCCCATGTCTCATCCCTCATGACCAGGGGCAGTTGTCCATCTGTGGTCAGCTGAGTGCCCAGGGCACCAGGGTGGGTGCCAGGGACACTGACCTTTGAGGGCAGCTCGGAGGCCTGCCTCCTTCCTAGGGGTGGTCCTGAGCCCACCTGCAGTGAGTGAGGGTGATCGCCCTAAACCTGTCACCATGGCCACCCCAGGTGAGACAGAGCCAGTCACCTTGTGGGGTCATATCCTGCCAGGGAGAGTCTGTCCCTAGGTCACAGCAGTGTTTGCAGCAGGCCACAGTAGGAGGCCACAGGGAATGTCCCTTACACAGGGCACAGGCTCAGTTAGCACAGATGAACTGCCAGAGGCCCCACAGATCTCAAGACATCTTTGGACCCCATGGCCCCTAGCCTAGGTGGGCCTGACCAGGCTCTGGGCTTGTGCCCTGCCTTCTAGTCCTGCCTTTGTCCTTAGGGGGCACTCGCTACAGCTGATTCATGACCAGCRGCAGCCCTTCTGGCCTATGGGCACCAAGTGCTGGAGGACCATGGGCAGCCCTTGTGGCCACAGGACACCCACTGCTGGAGTGGACCAAAGTCACCCATGTTATAGGACCAGGTTCAGCCCTCCTGTTGTAGACCAAGGCCACCCAYTGCTGGAGGGCCTTTCTCCTGGTTTACATTTACAGAGTACCCTCCATCTGTGGTTCTGGATACTGACACATTAGTGTCACCTGGGAGCTTTAACTACATCCCACAAGGCCCCTAATTTCTGAGTTGAGGTTACTGTGGGTCTCAGTGCACAGCAGGTATCAACCCTGATCCTAGAGGCTTAGGTACATGTGAGCCACCTGGGCTTGTGGGACGCAGGTTCTGATGTGAGGGTCTTCACAGGGCTTGTGAGATTGTATCCCTAACAAGCTCCAGGGGATGCCCACGTGGCCGGTGTGTGGACTCATACGGAGAATGAGGCCCAAGCACACTGAATGGACGTCCATTTTTGATGCAACATTTATTTTGAATGATTCTCATTTGGATATTTGGAATCAGGTTGTGAATAACCAGTGAGCTCTAAAGAACAGCCACATTCCCACTGCTGAACCCCACGCACACTGTTAGCCCTGCGATCCTGTTGGGAGGAAGGCGAAGGGGTGCTGGTGGCCATCACTAACACAGACAGGCACTGTGAGCAGGGACCACAGGCAGAGGGGCTGTGTCTGGTAGCAGTGCATCTCTCCCTGGGGGAGCTCAGCAGAATAGGGGACCCCACTGTTGTCCCCTAAGAGGCTCTGGGACGTCCTGTTGGACCCCAGTGGGGTGGGTCTGGATGTTCCTCGAGCCCAAGCTCTGTTTAGAGAGGAGATGAGACCAAGGCTTCCCAGAGCTGACCACACCTTGGCACATCTGAAACAGGACTCTTAGGAGAMCGCACAGCTCCAAGGACTCTGGGAAGCGTGAGCCATGAAGGCCATGCAATGACATCACTCAGGTCASAGCCACAGAGTGGCAGGTCCCAGGCAGACCTGCTCCCCGGATGGATATGTGACCATCCTCTGTGYGCATYAGCATTGCTGACCCTCTTCKKCAGCAGACAGGGCAGCTTAGAGAGGTGCTCTGCCCCAGAGACCAGCACGGCTGGCTCCTGTCCTCGTCCTTCACCTGCTCACTCTGGCCACAGCAGTCCATTCTCCAGGCCTCGGTTTCCCAGCTGSGGAGCTGGTGCTTCTCTGAGACTCTGCCCCCAGGATCAGCCCCAGAGGGTGGCTGGTGGTGAGGACACAGAGGGAAGACTGGGCTGGGAACAGACATCGCATGGGTTCTCCCTGGGGCAGAGACCTGAAGGAGGAGGGCGGAGAGAGGAGGCCACGCAGAAGGCAGGGGCTGGGTCCAGACAGAGGGGCCCCTGACACCAAGGCCTGGGGCACAGTCCATATGGAGAGGCTGGGGCAGTGCAGGGGGCACCTGGGTAGCACTGCMCTGTGTAGCTGAAGCTCTGCTGAGTGGCAGAGTTTATGGCAAGGGTGACCCCAGCAGCACCCACAGTAGGAGGGGACCTGCAGAGGTGATGGCAGGTCTGTGTCCTGATGGGTGGTGGCTTCCAAAGTCCACTCTCAACTCATCCAGTTTCCACGTTAATTRTGCACAGCTGCCCACATGTCAATCACAGCACTGCAGAGTGATCAGGAACAGAGAAAACAGCAGATTTGAAGCTAGGTGTCTTTTACCAGAGGAAGGAAGTTTAAGAAGAAAAAAACTGTGCTATCGTCACTTCTAAGGAACTGTCATTTTATTGTACTTATGTAAGTATCGGGTTTCAATTCTATTTCCTCTACACTTTATTCTATTTTCAAGTAATGTACAATGAACACCCAGGTGAGAATATAAAATGTTGGCAACATTGTCTGGAGACCCCTGGGACCTCCTCTGTGTTCTTGATTAGTCTGTGAATGTCCCTGGACATTGGGTGRTGGGYTCAGGACAGTCACAAGCTAATCCACTCTATGGGGCAAGTGCAGGATAAAAGCCTACTGAGGGCCCAGGGCAGCCTCATGTGACACAGAGGCTCCCATGAGCCCTGTAGCTGGTCAGCAGGGGGAAGAAGATGACCAGAACAGGTAGGTAGGGTGGGACCTTGGATGCAAGGACAGCCACTGTGAGCTGTTGAGAAGGGTCTGATGCATAATAAGTGCTGCTTGAGTTTCATTCATATTTCTGCTCCAGCTGCCACTTCCCTTGAGTGACTCTCATCACCACCATCCCCATCATATCACTATGACCACATCATCATCATCATCATCATCACCATCACCATCACCATCATCACCATCATCACCATCACCACCATCAATACCATCACTACTATCATCACCATCACTACCATCGCCATCATCACCATGAACATCTCCATGATCTTACCAATCATCACCATCACCATCACCATTGACATCAACTATCAACATGAAATTATCACCTTGGTCACATCACCATCACCACCATTATCACCACCATCACCATCACTATCATCATCACCATCCCACCATCAYCATCACCACCATGCTGAACATCACCATGATTTTACCAATCATCACCATCACCATCACCATTGACATCAACCATCAACCTCAAATTATCACCTTGGTCACATCACCACCATTACCATCACCATCACCATCATAACCATGAACATCACCATCACCATCACCATCATCACAATTATTATCATCATCACCATCACATCATCACCATCGTCACCATCATCATCACCATCGACCATCACCATCACATCATAGCATCATCACTACCATCTTTCATCATCTGTGTCAGTCTGCTCAAGCTTCCATGACAATGAGCACAGACCAGGGGACTTAGATTACTTCTCACAGTGCTGGAGGCTGGGAGATCCAAGGCCAAGCTGTCGGCAGCTCCAGGTCTTGATGAGGGCTCTCTGTGCTTGTGGAGGGGCTACCTCCTTGTCGTGTCTTCGCGTGATCTTCTGCGTGTGTGTGTGTGTGAGGAGAGGGGCCCAGCCCTATGGTCCATCCACTTCTTACCCTGCCACCCTTCTAGTTGGACCTGGGTCTCCTTTCTGAGCACATCTGGCCCAGGTTGCTTCCCCAGCAGCCCTCTCTCCACTGACAGTTGTATCCAACACCTGAGTTCTGGGGTCCACACATATTCAGTCCACACCACCAGCATTGTCATCATGACAACACCTCCTCATCTCCATCATCATGGCCATCGTGATGGTCATCAGAGTCACCATGACCACCTCATCATCCATCACAGATGACAAGCTCAGTGTGAGCAAACACCTGAGCATTGGTCCCCCTACCCAGTGTCTAGAGCTCGGCCCACCTACAGCATCTGGGTGGTGGCTGAGTGACAGAGGTACTTGTTGCATGGACACAGGGCCAAGGTGTTCCCTGGGCTGCAGTGGAATTCTGGGGCAACACAGGTGACACGGATAGACAGCTCACTGCTGCAGCCCAGACATCTCAGGGTCCAAATAGAAACCACCTGCTGCCCACTCTGGACACTCTCCTCTCCTGCCTCCGCACCYGGTGCCCCCTTGATCACTGGCTCCAGGCAGCCCCATTGATTAAATGCCCAGGCCCAGGAAATGATGGATTTAGCATCAATACGTCCTGCCCTGAGAGCAGACTGGGCACGAGAGCTCTCTAAATAAARACATCTAATGACAGGTGTGTGCTTGGAACCCCTTCCTGCACTTTCCAGCCTGTCTGCCTGGGAATTCCCAGGAGAAAGGGTGGGCATCAGCCTGGGACAGCCATTGGACAGGCCTGGCGAGGAAGTCAGGCTGTTTCATCCTGCAGCTCCGCAGACTGGCCGAAAAGGAGCTGGCCTTATGCAGTGGGAACGTACTGACCCTGATTAAGGAGATAAAAGAAGGATCCACAGCTCACTCAGGCATGCAACCAAAATCTGCCCCTTGAAAGTCCCCCTGGGCTCCCCCTACATGCTTCCTTGTTGAATCGCTGCTGACATGCACAGGCTCACGTGGAACCTGAGTTCCCAGTGCCACCACGTCAACACACCCAGCTTCCTCCTGCCCCCGCTCGGGCAGGTGTTGGACAGAGAGAGGGTGAGGGTGAGGCAGGCTGAGGACCTGGCTGGCTCTGTCATGGGCCAGAGTGTGCTCTGACCCCTCCAGGGTGGCTAAACCAATACTTTAGTGACAGCTTTGGTCACTGAATAGACAGCAGCCTGAGATGCCKAGAGGGCAGGGGTCGCCCAAGGTCCCTGGGCATGTTCCTGCATCTCAGAACTCCTGGCCTGGCCCCTGGCTCCCCACCAGGTGCCCCTTCCCATCACTCTGACCCTAGTCAGCTTGGCAGTTCCCAGAAGTGACCCCACATGAGACACATGAACCAGCCCAGAGCCATCCTTCCCTGGCTCCGCAGCTCTGTCCTCTTCYATCAATCTGGGTCTTCCAGACCTGCTGCCCTGGAAAGGCTGACAGTGTGGAGTAGCTGAGTCCAGYGTCTCACTTCCACCTGAAAGATCCCTGGTATCCCCTTTGGGGACAACTGATGAGCAGGTTCTCCGTGTCCAAATGAGATGAAACCGGCCAGTCTGCACACTGGGAAGAGCAGGCTGGAGGGGAGGCTGGAGAGAGGGCCCTGTAAGCTCCCGTGTGGGTACAGAACAGGTGGAAGATCCCAGAGCCCAGGGGATCCAGCCCTCCACAGGGCGAGCCCCAGAGATCAGACCCCACCCACACACCCCACCCTCTGTGCCCCCAATTTGTGGATGGACCTGGCTGACTCCTTACCCAAGATGTAGCTCGCTCTCCAATGCAGGCCACCCTCCATGGGCTGGCCACTCTGCTTGCTGCCCCTCTGTACTGCTCTGTGGCCCAGGAGACTGACCCTTGGGGYTGCCTCCACAGATGGCATGAGCAGCCTCCCTTGTTTGGCCAACAGAGGCCCAAGTAGGAGGTCAGGGGATTAGGGTGGAGGCTTCAGAGTCCTCATGCCCTGAGGGTCCTGGGGTCCACTGACCTTGGTGGGCTCCGTGATCCTGCCTACAGCCCTGGAACAATATMCATTTCAACGGTCTCCGTGAGACCCTGAGCTGGTTCCTGTTGCCTTCAGGCCCCTGGCTGGTGACCTCAGCAGCTCTGAACCAGGGTACTGAGCACACTGGGTGGGCTCCCCTGGGCAGGGTTTGGGGACTGGGTAGGCATTGACTGTGGCCAGGCTGCCCAGCACTGAGACATGAGAATGGTAGAAATTGACAGGGTTGGGCTCCCCAACTCTGGGACATGGAGACTGGACAGCAATACACTGACTGCAGACTCAGAGGCCACTTGTTCAGGTGGTTGAATGGCCTGGCCACACCTGCCCCCACCCAAGGCCTTCTCCTCCCAGGATCTCCACTTCTCCTCCCTCTAGACGTGTGTTTAGGGTGGCCTGGTCTGCAGACACAGGAGGACCAGAGACAGACGAGAGCACCAGGCACTCCCAGGCAATGGTAGCCCAACCTGTGAGGAGACAAGTCACCCTAGGAACACCTGCAGAGACAGCGCCGGGCACCCTGGGTCCTCCCGCTGTCCACCCTGGGTCAGAGACCTCAGACCAGCAGAACTCAGACGCTGGGTGCCACGAGGTCCATGGGGATCTCTTAGCCAGTCTCTGGACAGGATCTGGGAACAGGACCGTGACCTTCTTCCTCCTTGGGCCAGGCTGATCCTGACACAGTGGTCTGTAAGCCACACCAGGAACACACATGTCCTGGACCGAGACAAGGCTGTCACTGGATACCCCCTGAGTATCTCCTTCCCAGAACAAGGGGGAGATCCTCAGGCTGCTCTGGCCGAGGGCCCCCAGCAGGAGTGGTCACCTTGGGTCCTTGTGAGGAGAAGGTGACACCTTGGTGATATTTTTTGTTGACCACGCTGGGAATTTATAGATGGCAGGGCAGCTCTCAGCACAGAGGGTTAAATAGCCTCGTAAAAGTCACCACTATCCTCAGGAAGGACAGCATCCTCCTCTGGAAGTGTGCTTTAGAAGTCACAGCAGAACATGATCTGTTGGCTGGAGGTGGCCGCTGCCCACTGTTCCTAAATTACCTGGCCTGGCAGCCTGTCCAAGCACTGAATCATCTTTTAGAGACGCCGGCTCCATTTACACACCCTTCCTGCCAACTCTGGTGAGAAGAGGTCACTAAGGAAACTGGGCAGAAGCGAAGGAACTCRAGAGCAGTTCTCAGGCTGCGCCTAAGTCCGAGTTACTCTATTTTTTAAACAAAATTTGCCCCAAGCCACGCAATTTTGAGGCCAAGTGCTGAGGTGGGACGTGGTCCCTCTCGTCTGTACAAGTAGACACCCACCATCTGCACAGCACACCACAGAGTGCAAACCAATAACATATTCATGTCCAGGAGCACCTGGACACACAGGCACCCCAAATCATATCAGAGGTACCACAGGAGCTTCTCAACCTCCCCCGATGTTGCCCCCTCACCCAAGTCCTCTAAAAGGAGGAGCCCCCCAAAGACTGGGCACACTGACCTTGACTGACATGTCACTCCTCATGACTCTGCCCAGGAAACCGCCAAAGTAACAACCCAGTGGCCAATTCCCTCCCCCAGTTTCAGGTCAGCAAGGCTTCTCCAGCTCGTGGCAACGATGACTGTCCATCTCAAGCTGACACTCTGAAACTGCTGTCCTTCCAGAGCCTGTCCTGGGCAACTCTGCAGAACTGGCTCTTTAATACCTTCTCTRACACCAAAATGACCACCCTGGGCTCTGTCTCCGCCTGAGCTCTGGCACAACGTCCCACAGCCCTGTGGCCCCTTAACCCTCCCTGGTCTCTGTGACCTAGTGTGTCGTGTGGCTTGTGATACATGACTTAAATGCTATAGATATTAGAAATTAAGACTGGAATGAAATAAAGGAACTTGTAACTGCCCGGCCTATGGCCATCAGGTGGCCCCAAAATACCCTGCTAATGACAATTTATGAAAACGTTGTGAAATTAGTGTTACTCATAAATTCTGACATTGTGGAAAGACGAACATGTCTGGTTTGGGCTAATGGAATGGCAGGAAAGACCCTCACTCACCAACAAAGGGATCCTCGCTCATCAGCAAGAGCTACAAGTGGACATGTCCATGGGGCCCACAGGGGCTGCTCTAGGGGACTGGAGGCTCCAGAAATGGAGGGCATCCCTCTTGCTGGTGTGGAGGGCACCCCAGGGCCAGAGGATCTCAGGCTCTCCTCCATCCCTGCCACAGCCTGGGTACCCAGGCAGGGGACAGAGACTGGTCAGCTCCCCAAGAGGTGTCCTTTTCCTGCCTTGACTGTGCACTGCCCCCAGGCCCTGCCCCAGGGACTCACGTTCCACAGCATTGGGGGTACCCATTCCAATGATCCAACCTGCAGCCCTTCAACTGTTCTCAGCCCTGACGGCAGAGCCCTCCTCCAGGACACCAGGCAAGCCCAGAGCCCCATGCTAGGCGGGAAGCAGGACTTAGCCAGGAGCCTGGCAGGCTGTACGCATGCGTGGGCCAACTATGGGGCTTCATTCAGTCACATCAGGCCACCTTGAATGCTTTCTTGAGGGTGTCTTCTTTGAGTTGCTGGGTAGGTTCTTCTGAGGGCTCCTTGTGGGCGAACTTGCCTCCTACTTGAGTCTCGGAGAGAGGAAGCTGCTGCCCTAGGAGCTGGTGGTCCAAGAGCTGTGACCCTAGAGGACACCTGGCAGGCTGGGGTGGCAGGGAGCTGAGAGCTGTGGATGCCTTGGAGAGGAGCAGCCGGCCGCCAGGCCCTGGAAGAGGAGCTGGCCTCAGGGCACAGGAACGTGCTGGGAATGAGGACCCCAGCTCTGAAGTCCAGTCACCAGCCCTGAGCCTAACGTTGATAACTTGTGATTTTTGTCCAAACTGGGCGAGAGCAAGCTCCAGCATCTGCTCCTGGCTGCTAGAGGGTAAGCACCTCCACAGCAGCTACCACTGGCCAGAGCAGCACGTGACCCAAACTTGGCTGCAATTAAATCCTTTTGAAATCCTCTGACCAGACACCCAAGAGTGGCAACCTTCTGGGGTATGGATGCCTAGGAAGGGAGGCTTGCACTCCTGCAAGGTTCTTGAGGCCATCTGCAGTGAGACAGGCCTGCTTTGGGTGCACCCAGGGGCTGCTGCTGGTGCTGCAGATGCCTGTCCCATGCACCCTGTGTGCTGGGGCTGCCTGCCAGGAGGTCTACATCATGTGCACACCCACAGGCAGGTTTTGAGTGCCCATCCAGGCGTGGCCTGGCTGCTCACAGAGAGGTCACCTCTAGCTCCTCTCAAGGTCAGGATGTGCCTCTGCTCTGCTGTAATTGTAGGTTTGAGATGCAGGAGGAGGAGGCGGCAGTTGGACCATC